AAGCATATTTCCTATTAGAAATGCAACACTACCACCCTAAACCCAAAAATCCAGGCCATAATTCCCTTATAAATTGTTAGTTCAAGTGGTTTTCATTCAAGACATACATACCACTAAGGATCTCATTGCTGCTGCCCCAAAACTCTGCCGATTTGGATGGTCTGTGGTAAAATTCATCTCTATTAGCTGCTAGAATAAGCCTGTAGAACACAAGAGGAAAAATACACTATTACTTACAAATAGGAATGTCACAGTACAGGCAGGAACAAAATCCAATTCTTGCCACAGCATAAGCTCATTTTAAGTATGAAACCATCCTTTATTCTCCCATCTCACTTCTATAACTCAGTGTAAAGGTCAAATGACTTCTGACAGCAGCCGGCTCTCGTTGTCTTGAGACAGTCATCAAGTCTATCTTGTGTGAATGAGAGCTGTGATTTTCAAAGAATACATACAACACAAGAGATTGAATTAAGATTGCTTATGCAATCTTACAATTCCTCAGCATATGCAGCTACAGCTTAATTGAAGAAAACTTAAAGGTAACTCACAGATTTATAGGCAATTTATATATATAAAAAAATTAAAAATCTGAGGCATGAGTGTATTTTTTTACTGGATCAGTACTTAGGATCATGTAGTCACAGTATTTTTTAATCTTTGACACCTAAAGTTCTATTTATGTGATACAAAGGTACAAGTCAGATGCTTTTGTCTGTAAGCACCCATAACAGAGAGAAATTTGTGATAGTCTCAGAGGTGCAGCCCTACTGAAATTCATTAGCAGTGTTAGTACTGGAAGACTAGAAATAAAGATGCAGGCTAATTTGACTTGGCACATTCATCTTTTGAAAGTTCACATTTTCTGTTATTCAAAAGCAATGGAAGACAGAATCAGAAACTAAATTTAATGACTTACTACAACATCAAATAGATGAAGGGTATCCAAATAAAAGCTTGAGTTAGAAGGGTTACTCAGAATCAGCATTCAGACTACCATTTTCAAACCTGTAGATGAGCTTTCATTTGATGTTGCTCTTCCATCAGTCTTTTTTCAATCACCATTTTGGAATTAAAATTAAAAAAAGAAAAAAAATGAAAGAGCAGGTAATGGATTTGGCTGATCCACGTAAAGAGCAAAAGACAACTGTAACCTTAGGCAAACCGTTTGCTGGGGACTCAGAGAAACAGGTGACTGCAGACACGCTTGCGGACAACTCCAGCACACCATGCCATGATCCAACAGCCAAAGCTTCCAAAGCCCTGTTCATTATTACCCATAACATGACTCACCTTTATTTCAACTGCAAGATTGTGAGCTTTCCTCATTCTCCCCACCTATGTTGCTTAATATTTAATTTTCATGAAATGCCACCTTTCAGAAACCTGCAGATTTTCTTCACCAATTCCTATAACCTCAGTATCTTATTCACTGTCAGTTCCTCCTACCAACTGCACGTCAATTACACTCACACAGCAGAAGCCAAGTTTGCTACTGTAAAGTGAAGTTAGACCATACAATTTGCATTCTAATTTTTAAGCCACAACACCAGAATCAATTTTGATGAAGTCTCATTACTTCACTCAGCATTCAAATGTACTGACATTTTCTGCAGATTTCTGGACTTTCTTGCAAATTCATTTCTTCATTAACACAATGTTTTAAAACACAATCATGAGGTGCCAGTTGCACATTAGAAATACAGATGGAGAATTGTAATTAGCTAGAGAGAAAACAAAAAAGGCTAATACTTCAATGGCATCCCTTCTGTAAGAAAGATGCTTAGTATTTTGCCCAACAAAGATAGCATCTGTTGGAAAGCACAGCATATGTACATTTTTATCTTTCCAACGCCAAATAATCCTAACATTGTTCCTTTCAGACTTGCATTATTTCTCCTCTCCTAGCTGATTCTAGTCTTCATTCTACAGGCTTTCATCTGGTTTACCAAATCTTTGTCATCTTGCTTGAATATCCTCTATTTACAGCAGGCATCTTCCTTTTACTGATTTTTATTTAAATTAACATCTCTACTCTTCAAAACTAGTTTGGCTGAAGCGCATTTCTCATTTCCTGAGGCTCCAATTATATCTTGCCTTCAATAATTCCCAACAGGAAACCACAGTTTGTTTATACTATCTAAATACCAAAAATAAGCAAAGTTTTTCTGATATGACTGAATATTCCGCATCTCAAATTTAATACACAGGCTCCTAAGTTTAGCACAAAGCTTATATACAGGATGGTTATAATCAAAATAGCTTAATTTTGTCTTTTATGAAACATAATCACACTGAAAAAGAGCAATATTAAGTGACCCTCATCTTCTAATAAATTGCAAAAAAGCCCTTTCAACTATTTTTATAACTAAAATAATTCATCTGCATTAGGATTTACATATTAAGATTTATTTTAATGTTGAGGCAGAGATGAAAACATGAAAAATCATTCCATTAAAGCAATTTCCTACAATGTAATTCAGTTCCATAAAAGAGACTCTGATTATAGCTTTGAAGCTTGAAACATGTATTTATTTGTAAGACGCACACAGTATAGTTCACAAAGATGTAAAGGCAGCTTGTTACCTTTGACAATAATAATAGACTACAGTAAAGTGCTTGTTACACCGCACTAAACTTTATTACAAATAGGCCTGTAGAGAGAACACAGAGGAAAAAGGAGCAAGTTGCAAGGGTACAGGAAAAGAGATTCATTAGCATATCACAAAGGTGAGCTCAAAGCTTTTTGCTCAATTAGGTGTTCATGAAAATCAGCCAATGTACTGTTCTAGAACTCAAAGTCTACCTGGATGGAAAATTCTCTTAAGTGCTATGGAGATCATGTCTTAGTTTGAGAAAGTTTACTGGCTACAAGAAAATGGCCAACGATATGCAGTTTGTCTTTTCAACTTTTAATGTCTATTTTAGACAGTTTCTTTTAGTTAGAGATGCAAAGTAGAAGAAAGCAAGAAAAGTAATGGTAGATGCCCAATTTAATGTGAATAGACAAATTGGTATGTCTGCACGCATAGGAATGCCCTTTTGGCTGGGAAAACTGTTCCAGGACCTCACAGTGAAATAAACAGAGCTCTAGCACAATGCAACACACATGAGTTGTCAGGAAAAATTACACTTAGCAAGAGATTAGCATAAAGAGGTCTAAATTGGTCTAATGGTTGTAATATTGTTCAGAGAATTAGGAAGGCAGGGTTCCTTTCCAAGCTGATACTCAAACCAATGTCCTTCAGAAAGCAGAGGTGTGGGTGAAAAAAACCTTAGGAACAATTTAAGAAAGAACTGTTGAATAAAGAAAACCAGAAAGATTTAGTTACAGTGTGTTAATGAAAAAAAGGGGACTAAAGTTATGCATCTGATGTTAAAATCAGACACTAAGAACACTATAGCCTGGCACCTTCCACCAAAACAGATGGCTCAGAGTAATTTATCTCTGAGGTATAGAGCAAGACATAACTTAAAGGGTACTGAGAATGTTAAATACAATTACATATTCCTGAATTTGAGCCAAAACTTCTCAAAAGTGTTCTGTTTTGACACTGATAACAAGTTCTTTTCTCCTATAAATCAATAATTTCAATCTTGATGCAATTTTTTTATAGCAAGCAAACTACTGCAAGCTTTACTTCTAAATATTGATCATGGCAGAAAGTTCACTTGGCAAACAACTACAGTTTATATCCAAAGGATGCTCCCAAGAGGGATCAAATTGATGAATCTGTCTTTTGCTAACTACCAACACAAAGTAAGTCAGACCAAATAAATAGATATATTAATTCAGCATCAGTCACATCATAAATAAAAACCTTTTTAAAGCAGATTCGAGAGGCAGAAAGGAATGCGCTGTATGGACCATTGAAGTTTTGGTTCTCATTTCCTTTCTTTCTATAGAATGGCATCTGCTTCTCAATACAAAAGGGTAGAAAAACAAGTCAATGAAAAGCACAATGATTTGCTGCACATACTGACTCTGACAGTTTCTGGATGAATGCCAATACTTACTTCCCACAAAGCAATATGGAACCTATACAGTATGTATAAATACAGAAAGCCATAGAACTCCACAGTCTTCTTACTGGCCTTAAGTGCTATCTATTACATGTAATAAAAGATACTGATGTTAGATAAGAACTTTTAAAACTGAGGCTGTAATGAGAGAGAAAATTATTACAAGAACTTTAATGTTTGGGAAACTCACTGTATGATATCAACACATCAGGTAAAACTCACCTAGAAGCATGGATTCTAATTTTTGTTTTAAGGTTATGGCTAAATGTTTCATACACATGACTATTAGTTGATTACCTAAATTTTTAATTAATTTTACTGAAAGAAAATTTCAACATAAAATTTTAGTTGCAAGCAGATTTGGGGGAGGGGGAATCATAGAACGGTTTAGGTTGGAAAGGGCCTTAAGATCACCTAGTTTCAGCCTCTCTGCCATGTGCAGGGACACCTCACACTAGACCATGTGTGTCATAGTGTCCTGTCTCTTGGCTTACAAGACTGGACCAGCACATATTAAGAGAGGATAAAGTAATACAGAGTGGTTAATAAATGCAATACTTCTGCTCTACTGTCTGACCATTACTTCCAAATTCAAATTGGATAAATTTAAATTGTTGGTTTCAAACTGAAAGCCCTAAACATATCTGCCTTACTACAGAGAAGGGTACAGCTACAGCTGTGATGCCCCAAACACACACAATCCCCTTGGTTTAAATGATAAAGTAAAAGGCAGGACTTTCAGACTCCGGATTACAATATTCAAAGGATTTATCCTACATCACATGATAGATCACCAGTAAAAGGTCCATGATTGCAAAGCTCAAGTCTTCCAACACAGTCTAAAAACAAAGGGTTCTCAAAGGGTTACAGTTAAGTCCTCCAATGGGGAAAGTCATGAAGTTAAGCATTACAAAAGCATAATTGAACATATATACTGACTTGAGTTTGTAATTCAAACTTTGGCTACAAAAAGAAATTGCATAAAAAAATTATAGAAACAAGTCTGTTTTAACTAGAACCATCTTTACCTGTATGCATTTTTTGAAACTGGTTGGGGGTCAAATTTGAATAGAAGGATGCACATTGAAGAATTGATGTTTAAATCCTGCTTCTTCCACAAAGGCTTAATGCAAGGTCATTCTGCAATAGCCTACAAAGAAAATAAAGATTACCTATTATACTACAGATCATAAAAATAAAACCTTGCTTCTAGGCTGAAGCTTAAAGATTGCAATGTTCTAACTAATAGCCCATAGTAAAAATAAATAAAGCAGGACTTCCAAAATAGATTTATTTCAATGAATGATTTACTACCAAAATTCTTACGGTATTTGTTTCAAAGTTATGCTTGGCTAATTCAGATTCTTAGGAAAGAAACAAGCATCAGGAAAATACTGTCAGTCTAGAGTGCTACCAATACATGAAAGAAGGACTATTATATAATTTTCTGCTCATTACCAAAAAAGTACCACTACTTTTTTCCCCCATCTTCATTAAGACAAAACGCTTCTGCTAGAATAAAGGAGAAAATAACACAAACTGTTGCAGAAGCTGGAAAAAGCCTGATCAAAGACACTCTCAAACTTGTAAATACAGTATACTTCAGGCCAAGCTATTATTAAAGTCCAGAAGGAGAAAGAATTATTGTTTACCATCAGGGAAAACCATCAGGTATAAACAAAAATATACTGGACCAGAGCATACATCTGATGAATGGCTTGCAGCACTTGTGGTATGTTTAAAATTCTGGCCATGCTCAGATGGCATGACAAACGTGCTTTCCATTTCAAAACCATAGACAGCTTTCAAATATTTTGTGTCGCCCTGAATGAATTTTTTTCTGATAACATAACTGCAGCCTGATCTTTACTTTTGTGGCTGCTAAAACAAACATCATAATGCTACCAACCAAGCACGTATAGCTGTGTTTTACTGCTACTAGGAGTTTTCTCCATGCAAGAGCTTTCAAGGTAGGCAAAGTGGGGAGGAGGACAGGCAGAATTAAACACCACAACCCTAAGGCCATCTGAGCAACCCACTGACTGAAACAACTTCTGCACAAAAAGTAGAATTTTTAACCATACTTTCACATATATGAAAAGTGTATCTCCTGCTCTTTAATTTCCCCATCATTTACCTTAAGAGATATCAGGAAATGGATGATCTACACTACAGATCATATTATCAAAAGCAGAGGTACAAAAGTGCAGCATTTACGCAGATTGATTTAATTTTTTTTTAATTAATTGATGACAGGCACATTGATGTCAAAAGGATCTGAATTAGTACTGGAAAAGTCTTCATAAAAGAAGTGGAAGCACAAGACTGATCCTATCCAGGCTGCAAAAATCTTCCTTGGAAGCTGGCAAAAAAATGTACATATTCTGTTTGCTAAAATAAAGGGTAGGTGATCTCAAAGTGCTTTTTTTTGTCTTTAAGACATGTATCAAAAAGCCATATAAAAAAATACATTCAGATTGAGTGATTTCTTGTCTACTTGTTGAGCAACTTGTAAAAATAAGATAGTGACTTACAATTCGAGTTAATAAGTAGTTCCATTATAATCACAACTTTGCATGTGCTTTGGAAGGTAAAGGACTACAACTTCTACTATCAAGGATATGTTACCGTCTGAACCATCAGAAATTACTTTATGTCCATAAAATACATTAAATCAGCTGCATTAACTGCATTGTTCATGGAGCAATATGCTACAGTAATACTGTACACTATTGTTCACTGGTCCTTCTTTCACAAGAACAGAAATAGAACTTCATTCTTTTCACCTTTTCCTCAGTGTGAGCAGCACAGATGACATTTGTAAATATTAAGCTGTGTCAGACTATTTCAGAAACAACACTCATAGCTCAGAAAAGATCCCCCTTCAAATCTAACAGTTGAGAGGTATCAGTTTCCAGCATCAGCATGAATATGGTAGGTAATCCTTAAAACTTTTGGAGTTTTTTGACAAAACGCAAAAAAGCACACGTGGTGAAAGCAGAGATATAAAACATCATTTTAATGAGCAACAGTCACTGACTGCTCTTGCTGACTACGGAGATATGTCTCCCAGTATTCATTGGGTGTCCTGCCAGATAATTAAACGGATTACTCAATTAAAAAAAACAAACCCAACCTGTTGACAATCACTCATAAGACTACTATTTTAATGAACAGATTTCAGGCTCCATTAGCTCATTTATCAAGCTCCCTTCAAATAACCAACTCAGCCCAGCTGTTTGTGCAAAGTTACTAGTCAACATAAAGCTTACACAAAACCTGCCAGTCACAAAATTACTCTGCTGCTGTTTTCTAACACTTAATTATCTAGGCACACAAATATTTTCAACACTTCAATGCCTTTCTAGAATCCATATGCATTGTTATTAGGTACTACTGCTTTGACAGAAGTATCTTTTTGTCACCCCAACAAACCTGCTTGATGCCATTACAGTGAAGTTGTGCTTTTAGTAACGCCAAATATCAAAACAGTATTATTTATCTTGTGCTCCACCTGCCGGCCTCAAAACAAACAGGAGTGTTTATAGGTCCTATATAAGCAGTCCAACCTTGGTTTTTTTCTCGTTCAAGACAGAAGTGTTTATGCCACCTAAACCAGAGCTACTCCTTAAAATAGGAGCAATACTTCACTGGCAAAGGAGACCACCTATGTATTTTGGTACCTTCTTCGATCAAAGCTGACATTACATTTGCCAGACATGTTGCGTTTTTATACCTGGGGCTGGATGGTAGCCTTGAAGATCTTAAACAAAAACATGTCATAGCTCACACTCAAATTTAGATATTCTGAAATTTAAGACAATTAGCAAACATTAAAAGGGAAACAAATGAAGAGAGGCTGTCATAGACATCATAAGTAAATAAACATTTAATAAAAAAGTCTTTATACAGGTGTAATTCTTTCAAGCTCGTATTCACATAAACGAGGTTGCTCCAACTAGGGGATGTGACAAGCACATTGTGCAAAGCAGATGTGCTCAACTCAGCTCTCTCATCACTCAGCTAGAGTCTCTGCAGATTCAGAAGATGAAAAAGATTAGGTCAGCACTGGCTCCCACACTTGCAACTCAATCCTACAAGTCCAAAGCTTGATCAAAAGCTTGATCAAAAGCTGACTTTCTAGCTCCAGTTCAGCAGAAAATGTGCCTTCAGAACTATCCCAAGAGACACAGGAGGCAGTTTAGCTTAAGAAAAGAAAAATCAAATAAAAAAAGGCTAAGTTGTGGCACAACACATGGCTTCTGGTTTTCTTTTCTGAAGACAATACAAGCTAGAATATGCACACTGTGCAACATGACAAAGTCTGCAGAGTTATGTGCATGAGGGGAATCAACTCTAAGGTGGAGACAATGAAGACTTACTGCTCTCTGGATAGTGAGTTATAAAAAAAATCTAATTTGATTATTCCTACTCAATAAGACAACACTTATCAAGGATGATACGATAGCAACAATCTCCTATTTGTGTAACATGTTTCTAGCTTGCTGTCTAAGCTACATCTGATACACACAAACCAGCTTGACAAGAATTACAAGCATCTTGTAATTAAGTGTTCTGCTCCAAATGGCACTGCTGATTTGGAAGTGGCATTAAAGTAACTAACACTCTTATTCCATGCTACTGTGCTCTGTTAGACAGTACAATGTGTTGTTTCACTTGTTTTAAGGATCTGTTAAAAGCCTGTGTGGATACATGCCAGCATAAGGTAGCGTTTAGAGTGACTATCAAGAGACTAAAACATGATAGATTGTGTATGTTCTTTTCATAGTGTTCTACCATCATTTGGTTGATTAGAAGCAATCAGTTCACAATTTGGCATAAAACCATTTTACCCTTAAGAACTCCCAGTAGCAGCCTTTGAAAAATGAAGCCATTTGTTATGTATTTTGTTTTCACAAATGAGGCATCATAAATAACATCTGTCAGTTACCACAGTGATCTCAATTGCTTCTCAACTGATCCAAAACTGTTGTTTAGGTGCAGTCTAAGAGACAGCTAAAGATCATTAGTCACTGGATTCTGATAGTTTTATGTACCACAACAATAACTTGTGACCAGCAGAGTCTAAAACTATTTTAATGCTTCTCTCGAATTTGCTCAAAGGAAATTGAGCATTAGACTCACAAATGCCCATAAAAGAATAAAATTGGATGCATTTTCTTTCAGAAATGGAATGAGGGGTTTTTTTGTACTGAACCTTAAAATCATGGGAAATAAGAGATGCTTGATTAGTATTTAGAAGTAAACTACCTTCTCCCCACATACAGAACATTTTACTGATCCGTTTTTGCACTTCCTTTCTCTACTACATGCTCCTGTGTAGTGTTACTGATCATTAAAGATAAAGATGAGATGCAATAGATGGATCCATAATCTGATGCCTTTCAGGTTGCTCCATGTAAAGACAATTTATAACTAACCTAGAGCTTGTAACCCTGCCAAAGAGTCATTCTTCACCACAAGAGACAGACTAGACAACTTATGAAAACACAAAAAATAAAATGCAAGGCTTATGCCATGCCCAAGTTCAATGAACTAATTTTGGTTTCAGCTCCTTAATTTCTCTCTTTGGCTTCTTACTAGATTATGTCCACTGTACAGCTCCCAAGAGAAATGAACACTGGTAAACATCAACTTTCACCATACCATACTTTAAAAATATTTGCAAAGGATGGAGCAGAAGAGCCTTTCCTCCAGTTTCCCCAAGAGCTCTAGCTTCTCCTCTGCCATAGATCTGCAAACCCAGAGCCTTTTGCTAGACTTCTTCCTCCTTTTAGGCAAAGACTGTTATTTTCAGCTTTCACAATTTTTTAGGTTTTCTTCAGTGAGGAACCAGCTAGGAATCCTTTTTTGGGGCAAGAAACTCCATTTTCCATTTCTTATTCATAGAAAGTCTATGTTATAAGTAGCTGGAGAAAATACTAATGAAAGAATCATTTTTACTTGTTCTGTTCTTATGCTCTTCCCTAGAGATGTTCCTCTATACTCTCCCAGAGAAAAAAATATCAGTCTATATGGACCTCTGACCTGACCCAGTCCAGCTGGTCTTGTATTCTTAAGCTTAACTTCCTGCAACATGAGGGCTGCAATCATCGCTTACGTAAACCTGGTTTTATTCCCACTCTT